GAGCGAGCCGGCAGCAGGGTGGGGCCGTGACGCAGGAGAGGCTGGGGTCACTCACTGCCCGCACGTCCTCCAGTTCTTTCTCCTTCTGCCGCACCAGGGCCTGCAGCCGCTCCTTCTCCCCCGCGGCCTCCCCGAGCAGCCCCTTCAGCTCCGTGCACCGCTCCTGCAGCCTCCGCTCCGACTGCTCCAGCTCCGAGAGCTCTGTCTCATACTTGTCGCGCACACGCTTGACACTGCCAAGTGGGCAGAGGAGCAGGTGGCGGGGGACCTGGATGAGCGACTGCTCTCTGAATCTCAGTTCCTGGTCCTCCCCTGGTCTCTGCCGCCCAAAGTCAGCCCCAGCTCACCGGCTCTCAGCAGCCCTCTCTGTTTCCTCCTTGGCCAGTGTCATGTCAGCCTCCAGCCGGCGGATGACCAGCTCAATCTCCTGGTCCCGGCCTTTCCGGATCTCCTCCTTCAGCTCCCGTTCCCGGTTCAGGAGCCATGCTTCCTGCAGGGACACGAAGCTGGCTCAGGAACTGCCATCGGGAGGCAGCACATGCGCGAGTGGAGATCAAGGCAGCCACACGGACTCCTGGGACAGCTCCCTGCTCAGGACCACAGGGGATGCACAGATTCATGCCCAGGGGGAGGGCCTTGTCTTGTCATCAGGACCAGTGTGGGCACAAGGCACGAGGAGGAATGGGCAAGAGGTGCACACGACAGGGTGGCCCCTTGGCTGCTAAAAGAGTGGGAATGAGGCCAGCTCATGGAGGCAACTGGAAATTCCCAAAGGAAACACAGGCAGCAGTCTGAGGGCTGGGGTCAGCTGGCTCAAGGGCACAGGCGGGGCAGCTCCCCTCAGAAAGGGGCCCAGCCCTGTCAAGGTGCTTCCTCCCTGTTCCCAGCTCCTAATCTTGGAGCCACCTAAGATTGGCAGAGAGAGAAGCACACAAGCTCAGATAAACCCCTCAGCCCTGAAGCAGCCATGTGACCTGAGAAGCAGCCCACCCTCGCCCAACCTGCCTGAACCCACCTCTTTCTTGGCACAGCTGGCAGTCCATGCTTGTCGCTCCACCTCCAGCTGGTCCTTCAGGGCCTTCAGCTCCATCTGCACAAGGGCAGGGATGAGGCCCGGCGGCTGTCTCATTGCCTGGTTGGCCCACAGCCCTGCCCCCTGCCCAGGGCCCTGACCACCCACTGGGCCCCATGCAGGGCCAGGAGGCTGCAGGGTCGGGCTGTGGAGGGGGCTGCCCCACTGGATCCCAGGCTGGGCACAGTGCTCCCAGGCAGCTGGGGAGAGGACCTGGTGCCGCTGCTCCTGCTCCTCCCTGCCCTTCTCAAACTCGGCCCTCAGAGTTCGGGTCAGAGACGAGCTGCTCTCCTCCAGCTGCTGCCTCAGCTCCTCCAGCTCCGCCCGCTGCCTGCAGGCAGGTGAAAGGTCAGAGGGCAAAGGGCCACTGTGGGAAAGGGTGGTGGGCCAGGAGGGGTCACTGAGAGAGGGCTGAGTGGGTGAGGGAGACTGGAAGGAGCGAGGAAGGCCCCCACGTGAGGGGCCAGTGGCCCATGTGGCACCTGGCTGCCTGCTGGCCTAGCCGCTCCCTCTCCTCCGCCACCTCGCTGTACAGCCGCCGCCTCTGCTGCTCCAGGGCCCGCTGCTCCTGCTCCAGGTGCTGCTCGAACCTGTGGGGATGGCAGGAATGGCAGGGACTGGCTCACACAGACAGGGCAATGAGCCCCAGGTCACTGCTGCCCACACATATGGACCATCCCTGGGCATGGCCCTGGCCACCGGGTCCTGAGTCTGAGGGTGCACTCTGGTCACACCTCGCATAGCTGCTGGACCGAGGGCTGAGGAGAGCGGCTGTCCTCAGGGCCCCAGAGGAGCTGCGATGCAACTGCCCAAGGGATGGAGGCTGTGGGTCTGGACCCCTAAAGAGAGCTACAAAACCAGTCTCCTTCACACAATCCCCATCGGGGCCATGGACTGCCGATGAGGGAGGCAGGGGCACTGCTCCAGGGGCACAGCTCCTGCATGACCTTCCAATACCCGCAGTTCAGAAAGCCAGTGGGCCCACGCCTCGGCCGAGGGTCCCCCATCCCAGCCCAGACCCTGTGTTCGCGCTGTGACACCCACCGCTGCTGGGCGCGCTCGCGCTCCTGCTGGCCCAGCACCTCCTTCTCCCGCTCCGCATTCTCACGCAGTTCCTCAGCCTGGCGCAGGTAGCGTTGTGCGGCCTGCTCCTCGCGCTGCAGCAGCTCTGCTTCGTGCAGGTCCCGGAGCCTCCTGACCTCCTGCTTGTGCTTGGCGATGAGCTTCTGGATCTCGGGCTCCAGACCTGAGAAGGGCAGCCAGCTGCAGAGGAGCAGCAGAGCCCCCGTTCACCGGCACAAGGAGCATGAAGGGACCCCACCTCCCGAGAGGACCCAGTCCACCACGGCCACTCTGGGGCCCCTGCAGGAGCACAGCTGAGGCTGAAGTGCCAGGTGGAGAACGGCAAGGTTGCCCTGGGAGTCTGGTGGCTGGAGCCACCTCAGGCCTCTCCCAAAGCACTTCTCCCAGCCGGCCCTGTGCCTTGACCACTGGCATCCTGGTGGGGGACCCAAGACCCTGGAACAAGAGGCCAGGCCAGGGGAGGGCTCACGGCTCCTTCAGATACCAACCCCAAGAGCCTAGAGTCCCTTGGCTCCTCCTCCCTGCCCTTCTCTGCTTCCCACAGTGTGACCTGCATGCCAATTGCTTGCGAAACCCTTATTCCTCCAAGCTCAGCCCCTGGGGGAAGACACTGCTCCCAGTTCGGGCCTCTCTGGCCAAGGCTGGGCCAGGCTGTGTGGGCTCTGCCACCTCATGCCCCAGGACAGTCACCATCTCCTACGTTGTCACCTCCCCAAGGAAGGTCTTGTAAACATGTGCTATGTGTGCAACTGATGCTACCGTTAACTCCCAAAAGTGTGCCCCAGAAGTGGCCACTTCTGATGGTGGCCCCACCTCAGGATGATCTTGGTCACCCTCCCATCCAGCCTCATCATTGATGGTGACCTTCATGGTGCCCTCCCCCAAGCAGCCTAGCCTGACAGTGACCTCCTTGATCTTTCGGGGACCCCACTTCTGACAGTGACCTCACTGATCTTTTGGGGACCTCACCTTTGACAGTGATCTCCTTGATCTTTTTGGTTTTCTCATTGATCCACTTTTCCCGGCGGACTTTCTCAGTGGCGCTCATAAGTTCTTTGAGTTTCTTGATCTCCTAGGAGTGGGAACATAGGAAGTTCAGAAAGGATACATATGAACAACACTCCCTTCCCCTTTGACACCTCCTGGGTTTGCACCAGAGAGCTCTTCTGTCTTCCCAAGGAGCCAGGCCAGGCTGGGGCCTCTCCCACTATGCCTGGCTGTTGAGAGGCAGAGGAGGGACAGCATCAGCCTGCAGAGGCCCCAGAGACCCTCTGGAACGGCTCAGGGCCATATTCTGCTATGCGCCAGGGGGTCTGCAGTGGGTACTGGGCCTTTCAAAATGCCAATGTCAGCCCCACTCGGGTCTGGCACAGGTCTGGGGCAGGCCCACAAGAAGCAGAGCCAGCCAGGCTGCACCATTCTACCCTTGACCTGCTGTCCATGCAGTAGGGGGCCAGGAGCGTGGTCCTAGCCTGACATAGCAGGGAAGACAAGCAAGGCCCAGGGCCTGGGCACCCATGCTGGGTGGACCAGACTCGGGCTCCTGGGTCCACACCCGGTGCCTGTGGGGAGGCCTCACATGGGACACCTCAGGGCCAGGCCGCAGTGGACACTGGACACAGCCCAAGGGGAAGGAGAGGAAAGGTGAAGAGAGCTGGGGAACGTCCTCCCTGTCTGGCCCCTTGGTCATGTCCCTAGGCTGCGCTGCTGTGCTGGGTGACCCCAGAATCCATTGTTTACAACCCCCAGGGGCCCGACATCCTGAGGTAGGAGCAATGCTCCTCCCTGGCGCCCTGCCTGGCAGCACAAGGACAGTGAGGACCAGCCTGGCTCTCAACTGAGTGGGGGTCTCACCAGCTCATGCTGCTCCTGCATCTGGGCCAGGCGCTCCCAACACCGCTGGTCTCCCTGCTTCAGCTCGGCCACCACCACCTCACACTTCTCACTCAGAACCTTCTTGTCTTCGATCAGCTGCAACAGGTCAGGAGGAAGGGCTGCACGAAGGCCCCGCCCCTGGGGTGCTCCCGCTCCCAGGCCACCCCCATCCTGGTGCTATGGCTGGACCCTGGGGTCAGTGGGAGGACTGTGTGTGCCTGGGACACAGGGCTCCAGCTGCTGTCAGAGATGCCCCAGTGGGAACAGAGGTCTGGGCCCTGCCATGACCACACCAGGAACTTCCCAGGATGCAGAGCCCTGCGGCCTCCCCCATCACCTACCCCTTGCCTGCCAGGAAGCCCTGAGGATGGCCAGAGGGCCCCAGACCGGACTCCAGGTTTGAGCACCTGTGACAACCACCGAGCAGCAATCACCAGGTGCACTGCCAGACCCCAGGCCTGGAGCTTTTCCCCAGAGGGCAGTGACCGCAGAGTGGTGGCCTCTCAGGCCAGGAGTGGCCTCCCCAAGCAGACAGCACAGGAAAGCTCTGGAATGTGTGTGTGGGAACCTCACACATCTGGCTGGCTGGCCAGCTCCAGCACTGCCCATCCCTCCGAGGGACCTGCTGCTATGCCCTGCCTGCTGCCCCACGGCTCACTATGCCCAGATGGAAAGGGGGCAGCCCCTGCCCGGCACTGGGTTCAACAGTGGGCCAGTGAGCAGCATGGGAAGCCCTGGCTCTGGGAGTCTCCATAAGATTGTGTCGGTCCGGGCCCGGCCCTGTCCCTGCGACCCTCCTCCATGCTCAGCCCTGGCTGTGTCACCTGGTCAATGAACGTCAGGTGCCGCTGGATGGTGGCCTCATAGTGCTCCTTCTGTTGCCGCAGCTGCCGACTCAGCTCCTTCTCCGTCTCCTTGACCTGCCTGACAGTGAGGTCGCGCTGCTGTGCCTGTGGAGGTGCGGGAGGGGGCGCTTGTGCAGGGTCCCCACGGCAGAGTCACGGCCGGGCACTGGTAGCCACGCAGGGAGAAGGCAGGATGGGGCCTCCAGGAAAAGCACAGCGCCCGGCCTCGGGTGAGGTGCTGGCAGGGCATGCCCTGCTAGCCCCGGGACAGTGACACCCACAGCCATACCAGTGCTCTCTGCAGCAGCACCATGGCTTGCTTTTTCTCTTCCACCTCCAGCTTCAGCCGCATCTCAGACGCACTCCTGCTAGATGCCAGCTCCAGATGGCCCTGCCCCACCTGGGGCACCGGTCTCTGCGGATGGCTGAGCGTCAGGCCGGCAGCCTGTCACCAACTGCCCAGCTGGGGCAGCGAGGGACATGCATGACACCCTGCCTGTCGCGTCCTCTGGGGGACCCTTGCCTTCCTCAGGAGGAACAGCCACAGGCAGGGCACACGGCAGAATTTTTGTTACCCAGGAGAGTGAAGGCCGCAGCCTTAGTTATCACGCTGAGCCCTGAGAAGGTCACATCTCCTTCTGACCTCCCTGCCCACAGACTAAAATTCACTACTGCTCCACTCAGCTGGCCACTGGTTGTCACCCAGGACTGACACAGTACAGAGCACACCAGGGTTCAGGGGTGCCGGAGGTGACCCAGTCTGTAGCCCTCCTCAGAGCCCAGGAGCAGAGCCAGGCTGCTGTGAGGGGCCTGGTGACTGACCAGCTCCCACTGAGGACCCGCCTGCTGCGGGGCACGAGGGGCAGCTGGTGAATGCCTACCTCCCGCTGGGGGGCCAGCCGGCTCTGCTCCGACTTCTCCATCTCATCCAGGAAGCTCATGATACTCTGCAGCTTGGCCTCTGAGAGCAGCGTCTTTTCCTCGGGGGGACCAGAGGACGCACTGAGTTCCCCAAATTTCTCCAGGTTGTCAGCTGTCAGGGAGCTGGTGTTGTCCTCCTGTGAGTGGGTGGCCCAGCATTGGAGGCTGCCTGGACAGCCAGAGCATGGAGGGTCCCCCTGATCAGGGGCCACTTGGCCAGGAAGGGCAGGGATGGGGAGAGGAGAGGCAGCCGGGCCTGGGTCTGAAAGGAAGGGCCTCTCCAGCCACCCCAGAGCCTGGGGCATCACTGCCGGCACAAAGGCACCTACTCCGTGGGTTATTGTGTGTCCTGACCCCTGCAGTGACCCCAGAACCTGTGTGGACAGTGCCAGAGCCTGGGCTGGGGAGAGGGTGGGCACACGGCCTAGTCACCTCATTGAACCAAGTGTATTTATTCTTTTGATAGGCCCTGGGGCGGGGCAGCGGCTCTGGCTCCTCCTCTAGCAGTTGCAGTGTGTCCAGCAGCTCGTCCAGGGTCACCCCGGACTTGGCCCTGCTCCTGACAGGGGCTGCTGACGCTGCATCTTCGCTGGCCACACCCTGGGAGTGGATACCCTGCAGGAGACAGGCAGAGGGTGAGAAGCCAGCCAGGCTCAGTGACCAAGAGCAGCCCACGTACCAGCCTGACCACAGTGCGGGGCTCGGGGCCCTGTGTTCTGCTCCTTGCCCTGAAGGCTGACAGCATCTGTCCCACCAGGGAGTCTCAAGATCCCTTTTTTGGGAAGCCACTGGGCCTCTCACAGGGCAGCCTGGTGGCCTTGCCATCCCCTGGCCTCTGAGTTTTCAGCACCTTTTTGGGGATGGGATACAGGATCCCACCCCAGAAAATGTGAAAACCTGACTGGTTTTCAGAGTGGCTCAGAGGAGCTCCACAAGACCCTGCCCCCAGCCCCCAGCGAGCGCTGCCTCATCCCTCAGCTGGAGCCCTCAGGCAGCCTTTCTCACAAGGTTGGTGGCAGGGACACAGTCAGCTCAGCCACCTCGGGCACAACTCAGCCTGAGAAGCTGGAATCAGGAAGCTAGGGGGGCAAGCTGTGCACAGACCTGCAGCGTGTCCTCCGGAGACTGCCGGGGCTCTGGGGACGAGCTGGAGACAGGCAGGCAGGGGTCCCTGGGGCTTGCAGGGTGGATGCTGGTGCCTGCGTGACAGAATACAGCACCATCCCACCCAGGGCCCTAGCCCTAAGAAGCCCTGGGAAGAAAGGAGCCAGGTACAGGGAGGCAGGTGTGACAGAGGTACTGTGAACCTTGCCTTCGGGTGTGAAGCTGGGAGAGCCAAGCAACCTGGAGTTGGGGTCTCTGCCTGCTGGGTCCCTTAACCAGCCCTAGCAGTGAGTGGAGCAGGGGTGGTGGAGGCAGAGGGCCAGGGCCGGTAAGACTAAGTCTCCAACTCTGAACAAGGAAGCCACCAACCAGCTGCAGGATGGAGGCTAAGGGCATGCCGGCAGAGGCCACGTCCCTCCCTGGTCACAAGCTCCCCAGGGCTGATGAACAGGGACAGCGCTCACCAGCGTTGCTGGCCTCAGGGTCCTGGCGAGCAGCACTGCCTGGCAGTGGGAGAGGCCCCCGGGTGGGCAGCGGTCGCCCCAGGGCTCTGGTCTCCAGGCTTTCCTTGGGCAGTGCAGCTTCCCCTGACTTCTGGGCTCGCTTCTCCCGCAGTTCCTGCAGGGCAGGGGGACATCTCTGAGCAGCCCTGGGCGAGGACGGCCCCTCATCCTCCCACAGCCGTCTCCCCTATGGATCTGTGTCACAGTCAGGTCTGGAAACTGCAGGGCCCTGCACCTGAATGGCCGCCCGCCTGGCCTGGCGGGCCTTCTCCTCTCGGGCCTTCCTCCTCGCAGCCTCCTTCTGCTGGTGCAGCTCCAAGAGGTTCCTGCCACCCAGGCGCTGCTGCTGCTCCTGCCAGGGAAGCCAAAGCCAGGCGGTTTACAGATGAGCAGATGGATGGAGACCTGGGACTCTGCTGGGGGCTTCCTCTTGGTGCCTGCCATCCCAGGGAGACTGCAGTTTTCCCGGGGACGGGGAAGTAAGACCTCTAGACCCTGAACCTGCCACCTCCATTCAGCAAAGGGCAAGCCCCAAGCCCAGGCTCTGGTGGACAGCAGGGGGACAGCTGCACAGCTCGGGGGCGGAGGCTGTCTGGGGCGTCCTTCCAGACCCGCAGGCATCTCCTGACACCCAGCCCGGCGACAGTCACTGGAGGACCAAGTGGACCTACAGACAGGTGTGCCCTCACGGGCAATGCCAGGTCTCAACTCTCCTTGTCTCCCAAACTCTACCTCCATGGTTCAGACCTGGGGCTGCTGGGCCCAGCCTGGGGGCTTGGGGTGGCTCACATACTCACACTGACCTCTCGCTTGGACTCCAGCAGATGCTCCAGGCTTCTGGCCCCTGCATGGCGCCGCTGTACCTGGTGGCGGTACCAGCGCTGGATGGTGACAGCAGCCTGGTTTACCTGGCAAATAAACCTGCCCAGAGAGCAGGGTGCAGAGTTAGGAGGAGGCCCATGGCCCCCTTCCCCAAGTGTCCTGCAGGAACCCGAAATCGCAGGTCCAGCTAGGAAGAGTGAACCTAGCGGCTGCATGCACACATCCCTTTCCCACCTGGCCAGGACCCGACAAAGCCAGTGCTTCTGGGCTCACTTGATTAAAACCCAAAACCTCCCCTCTGGAGAAGTTACCAGGCAAAGCAAGCTTCTATAGCTATAGGCTTGGGTGGCTTTATGCACAGTCACTAGAAACCAGAAATAACCCAAATGCCCACCAGACTGCTACAGTGTGAACACAGGCACATCCAGGTGACAGGATGTAACCACCAGCAGCTAGCACCAGGCGCAGGAGTCCCACGCCACAGCTGCATTTGTGGACATCCTGGAGCAGGCAAGGCTACAGGCAAACAGGCTGGTGGAGCCGGGGTTGGGGCAGGAGATAGATGGGGGTGGGGGTGGACAGAAGGAGCTGGAGGGAATCTTAGGGTATGGTTAGGACTTGGTGCGGTGTATCTGTGGCTATCACCATACGTTTTACTATATTATAATACTCAATAAAGCTAACTGAACACAAACTTCACTCTTGGTTCAAGGGACCAAGTATGGGTCCATTCAGCAAAGGCACCAAGGACCCAGCACACAGACAGTCGCCTGTGCGAAGGCCCTGGCTCTGGAGAGTGACACCTGTCCACCCCGAGAGACCTGTCCATGGAGGGCACCACAGTGGGGCTTCAGAGGAGCTGCTGGCTCCTGGCTTCCCTTCCCAGTGCCCTCGCTCCCTCTCACCTTCATAGGGCTGGTCCCCTGGGGAGATGGGTAAGCGAGCCCAGGGCAGAGGAGGCTCCTAGGAGCCAGGGTGTAAGGCGCCTGCAGTGGCCATCTGCACTACCACATCTAGTACCCAAGGGCATATGTCCAGGACACAGTCCTTTACGTGTTTCTGTTCTTCTCAGTATTACATCTTCTTCCCTAATCATTTTATAATTAATAGTTTACTGAGATAGGGCCAGGGATTTAGCTCAGTGGTTGCACCGCCTGCCTCCCAAGTGCAAGGTCCCGAGTTCAATCCCCGGTACCAACAACAACAGTTTACTGAGGTATAATTTACATACTGTAAAACTCACCCATTTTTTAGCATATAATTCAATGCTTTTTAGAAATTTACAGAGCTGTGCAACCATCAGTGCAATCCAATTCTAGATGGTCCCGTTACCTCACGGGGCACTCTGCTCTCTGGGTCCCACCTAGCTCTAAGCAACCATCCCCAACCTCCTGCCTCTCCAGACCTTCCTCCTCTGGGTGTGTCACAAGGTGGAGCCACATCATGCACGGCCTTTTCAGCCTCAGTGTTTTGAAACAATTATTAAATGACATTGCTACCACTGGAGACACAGGCACCAGCTCCCTAGAAGTGTTCACCTCTCAGCCTCCTCCTCGGTCACTTCCTTCCGCCTGAGTGGGGTGCTGCTCCCCACAGCTGCACTCTGGGCTGCCTGGTTGCTGCTGGAGAAGTTCTTCCCGAAGCTGCTGCCCTCGCTGCCCTCACTGGTGGCCGCCTTGATGATGTTGCTGGCAGGAAGAAGAGAGCCCAGCTCCCTGCCCCAGGGGAAGCAGCTCTGTCCCCAGCACCAGGAGCACCCCGATTTATTCTGGGGCTGAGACTGGGAGAGACCTCTGGGCTGCAGCACAAGGCCAGCCCTACTGCCCCACATGGCCGGGGCCACCTGCACCCCAACAAGGTCCTATCAATTGGCACCCAAGCAAAAGGAGCCCAGAGCTACATGAAGCCAAGACACCCCAAGGGCCACTGATTCTGAGCAAAGTCACGCAAGGGGCCGAGCATCTGCTCTGCTCAGCCACCTTCACTGCACCACCCTTCAGCTCTGAGCATGAGAGCAGCTTCCCCCGGAAGGGCCCCCCCAGGCACGAGTCCTGGGCTCACCCTTGTCTGGTCTGTCTTCTCTGTCCCTGGGAAGCAGACCTGGACCACATGAGCACAGGCAACAGCGCAAAGACAAGGATTCCCGCATGCAGCCCAGGTGCCCTCGTGTGCACATGCCCTGAGGCCTGCCACAGTCAAATGCCAGCTTACTTGAGGGAGGGGGTGGTCTGATTGGAGCTCTTGAGGGGGTGCACTTTCTCCGAGGGGGTGTAGTGGTTGTGCACCATGGAGGTGACGCAGTTGCCCACAGCTGCCTTGTTGCTCCTGCCACAGAGACAGGAAGCTATCAGCTTAGGAGGCAGATGGCCAAGATCATGTCTGCAGCACAGGCTGTGGCCTGGAGGAGCTGTTTGCCCCTCCTGTGGCATCACCAGGGGCCCCAAGGCCTGTGCCATTGTTGCACATTGTTGCTGCCTCCTATGCTTCCAAGGGGGCAGCCTATGTCCCTAGCCCCGCTGAGGCTGAGTGGAGCCACACTTGCCTTGCAGGCCTGGAGGTGACCTGCAGGTGGCTTCTTCTAGGGACCAGTGACCCAGCCCAGTGGCTAAGGCAGTGCTGGCCACCACTCCCACACTCTGGTCGCATGCCTAACGCAGCCCAGGTGGGACCTGGCCTCCACCTCCAGGGATACAGAGCCCTGAAGCTTAACCCAGCACAAGCCGTCAGGAGTCACACCACAGCACCACACAATGCCCGCAGGGCATCCTGGCCTCCAGAGGGAGGGAGGACTGTGTTCTCCATGGTCTGCTAGGCCAAGCACAGCCCCATCCTGAAGCTCTGGCGAGTGGGTCCTTGTGTGCAGACACCATCTGCCACCTTATAGCCTCTCCCTTCACTACTGGCAAACAAGTCCATGCATGCTGGTGTGGGCACAGGCCTGTAACCCCAGACTCTGGGAGGCTGAGGCAGGAGGATCACAGATTCAAACACAGCCCAGGCACTTAGCAAGAAAAGAAAGGAAAAATGTGCTGGGGATATAGCTCTGTACAAAAGCCCTGGGTTCATAAAAATGCCACTGCTGCCTTTCTCCACCTATTTGTTCCCGAACAGCCGGATGTAGCCACCAGACAGACACAGAGTCCTTGACCCCATGCCCCCGGGCCAAGGCTGCCCCACGACCTGTGAGTCTCCCACCTGTTATTAGCAGTGAAGCTGGGTGCCAGGGTGCACTCCTTCCTCTGTGGGCCCACGGGGGCATCGAGGGCACTGGAATTCTGGCGCTGACCTTGACCTGGTCCCCTGGGCTGCTCATCCTGTGGGTCACATGGACACCCCTCAGTACACCCCAACACCAGTCCCCGCTACCCGACACTGTTGTACCCATAAACACAGGAGCCCCGATCCCCACACAAGAGCAGACAGGGTGACCCGGGCCCCCACAGGGACCCTCTTGTAGTCAAAGGCATCCATCTCAGGGGGTGGGGTCTGGGACTCACGGCCACCTCACGTTCAGCCTCACCAGGACATTCCAAGTGGTTGCCTTTTCACCAGACACCTTGCTCAGACCCGCCAGCCTCCTTCTCCCACCAGGGCTGCCCTCGAACAGCATCAGGAAGTCAGGGGGCTCCGCCAGCCTGCGTGCCGGGGAGGACAGCACATGGGGCAAAGTCAACCAGCGGTGAAGTCAACTCCAGCAAGGAAAACAGGAGCAGGGCTTAGAGGAGCAGAGGCCAGGATATGAGGGATTCTGCACCCAGCCATAGTTTAAGATAGTTTGACTGGGGAGGACACGGCCTGGGGAGCTCCCTTTGAGCCTCAGGGCTTAGCCCTGACTGAGCTGAGCTGTCTGGGCACCCAGGGCCTTAAACAGGTGGCCACCAGCAGCTGATACTCTCTTCTGTGGACTGAGGGCACTCGGGCCCGCAGCTCAGCAGGGACGAGGAGCCACCGTGACCCAGGACACACTCTGTCCCCTCTGAACTGAATGGGAGGGAGAGCTCCTGACAACATGCTTTATGGGAGGCTGCAACTGCAGCCAGAGCTGGGATTGAAAATATGGTCTGTCCATATCTTGGTCCATTATTCAGCCATAAACAGGAACGAGGCACTGACACAGGCCATGGCACAGCTGAACTTTGAAGACATGATGCTCAGTGAAAGAGCCAGACCCAACCCTGGCAAGGTGGTGCACACCTGTGATCCCAGCGCTCTGGGAGGCTGGTACAGGAGGGTTTCAAGTTTGAGCCCAGCCTGGGCAACTTAGTGACTTAGCTAGACCCTTCTCAAAATACAAATAAAAAGGGCTGGGGAATTAGCTCAGTAAGAAGGCCCAGGGTTCAATCCCCAGTACCATGAGGAAAAGAAGGAAAGAGAAAGGAAAAGAGAGGGGCCAGAGATGCAGCTCAGTGGCACCGCGTCTGCCCCACAAGCGCAAGATCTTGAGTTAGATCCCCAGTACCAAAAAAAAAAACAAAACCAAGAAAGAAAAGAAAAGAAGCCAGGCCCTAGGCCACAAATGGTTTGTCCCCACTAGGGGAACTGTCCAGAGCAGGCAGAACCCACACTGGGGGCCAAGGGGTGGAGGAGGGGAAGTGGGGACTGACTGGTGATGAACATGTAGTTTTCTTTTAGGGTGATAAAAACATTCTAAACTTGACTGTGATGGTTGCACAACCCTGTGAATATACCCCCCGCCAAAATTCCTGAATTAGGCCAGGAGGACCCTGTCTCAAAATAAAATACAAAAAAACAAAAAAAAACTGTAGAAGTAGCTCAGTGGTAGAGTGTCCCTGAGTTCAATTCCCAGTACTGTGACAAATAAATACATATTTTTAAAAAGGTTTGGGATGTAGCTCAGTACTTTAGCTTAGAAAGCAGGCAGTTCTTGCTAGGACAGTGCTGGCAGGCAGCAGCCCTATTCCGGGGTACTCCTGACTCTGACCTGGCCCCTGGCTGCCTGATCTATCTGCTCCTAGCCCATGCCAGCCAGCACAGGCCTCCCTGTCCCAGGGAGCATCCAGGGCCCCAGCAGCACCTCCACACTGACAAGCCTCAGAGGAGACGGAAATGCACAATGGGCCCCAGAATGCACCCATAAACAAATCAGGTCCGGGCAAACTTGACAACACCTCCTTGTGGATGCTGAGGAGTGGGTATCACCCAAACAAACCCCTCTCCACTCCTGCCAGGGGGAAGAGGTACAATGCAAAATAGAAAAGGGAAGAGGCCACTTGTCTTTGTTTGTGGAAATGTAAGAGACTCAACAAGTGAGGGCCACATCACACGCGCTCCCACCTGCCAGTAAGGACCCCACCAAACCCAGGCCAGGGAACAAGACCCGCTCAGAGTGGCAGGAGGGCTCCAGTGCTACATCCAGCAAAAAGTTGCAAACATCAGGGAACAGCTGGGACCTATGAAAGGCCACCTGAACCCATGCATGAAGCCTGGGGCAGGGCAGGCCCACAGGGTCCCAGGTCCCAAATGGGTTATCTGCAACTTGCTGCCGCCCCGTGGAAATCCCACAGGGTCAGCTTTGGATAAACTCCAGGACACCTATGCTCACGGCAAAGCACAGGCAGCAGGAAGCTCCAAGAGCATGAAGCACGGGCATGGCCCCTTCCCTAACAGCCCCCAGCTTCAAGAGCCAGCAGTACAGAGGAACATACAGGGTATGGGGCAGCTTAGGGAGACACAGGGATGGGGACAGGAGCCAGGGGCCCAGGCCAGCTCCTCACACAGTCCCAGCACTACACAGAGGCAGAGGTGACCCAGTCTGGGCGGAAAGATGGATGAACAGTAAAACACTGGGCTCTCCATTGCCAATACAACCACACCATCCCAGCCCACAGCCAGGGAGAGGTGCACGGGGAAGGGCTTACCAGACGCCCTTAGAACAGCACAGCACACTGCATGTGCCGCCCCCACGGGGCACCATGGACATACCACATATACCAAACACTAAATCACATACCGCCTACCCACCACACACACCACTGTCACATACACATGCGAAGCACACTGCAGCTCACATGCGTGTATACATACCACACAAATACACACTACTCCTATGCACACCATACATACACACATGCACACACCATGCCATACCACCCCTAGCACTGACACGGTCAGTGGCTGCGACCTCCCACCCTGGTGAGTCCTACACCCACATCCCTGGGGGGAGAGGCGCTATCTCAGCTCCCAGGAGTCGGTCTGACCCTCACACTGGCACAGAGGCCACACAGCAGCCCTTCCCCTGTCACCAGTTCAGGGCCCGTGGGGGAAAGTGGCTGTTTAACATCCAGAACAAGGATGGGGCACAGAGGGTTCAGGGCTGACTCAGTGCCCCGCCTCCCGCAGGGGACAGGTGTGGTTGTCAAAGGGAGGGGAAAGCCCGCAGCTGAGGACACAGATGAGGCCTCCTGCAGGTCTCCCTGTGTGTCCACTGTGCCCAGCAATAAGGGTAGAGGCTGCTGACCCAAAATCTGTCCCAGGGCCCGGCTCCAGGGTCCTGCAAATGTGACAGGATAAGTGGTTACACATGGCTTCCTTGGCCCTCCTGGCTCAAGAGGAGGGAGTGGGACCCAAGGGCTGGGCTGCAGAATGGTCACCCAAGTCCAGTACCCTGCAAGAGCCACCACTGACAGAACTGGAAGGGCCCAGGCAGAGGCAGAAGCTGGCATGGAGAGCCCAGGGGTGGGGCTTCCAGAGTCCCGAGGGCCGCAGCCACCTGAGGGAGACAAAGATTACCTGGGTGATGCAGCCCAGGGCTGGTTGACCTGTGTGGCGCTGTTAGATCTTCGAAGATTGTTAATGGCCCTGGAGCCCCCAGACCCTGCAGCCTCCTGCAGAGAGGGAGAAAGCAGCCCATTCAGTAGCAAAGATCTCAGACACTCACCTGCTCCTCAGCACCAGGCTGGGCCCTGGAGAAATGGGTTAGGAGAGCAGAGCAGTGATGGGTAAGTAGCAACACGGGACCGGAGGCCAGTGTGGTGCACGGTCATGGGTAGGAGAGGCCCTGCTACTGACTTCTCAGTTTCCTGCATAAGACAGAGCCCTCTGCGCCTGCAGAGTGGGAGGCCATGTGGTTGGCCAGGAACTGCTCCTCCCTGCCACCCTCATCACAGCGAGCTCCGAGAATGGCAAGAAGAGAGCAACAGGCCCCCCGCCATCCAGCCCCAGCCTCTTCTATTGGGGGAGGGCACCGCAGGTGCTTTGGGTTCACTGTGAGGGTAAACATGGAGACACGGACACTGTGGGTGAGGGGAGACACAGCCATGGGCATGGTCCATGGTGGCAGAAAGTTTTCAGGGGCGCAGAGCCACCCCTGCTGTGAGGAAGGCACCTCCCTCATCCCAGACACCAGAGCAGAGTTGGTGAATCAGAAACAACAACAGTGCTGATCAGTGTGTGAGCCCTCTGGGATCCCAGAGGACAAAGCGGATGTCTGGGTGTGGCGGAGGAAGGGATGAGAGTATCAGATGCCACCATGGAGTCAGGAGGTGCCCCTGGAGAGGGCCCACTTCCTAGGGAAGAGGAGCTGTGGACTTAGGAGACAGCCCACACCGTCCATAGCTTGCTCTCAACTGGGTGGAGGCCCTCCAGGCTGTCAGAGGACCTGGGAGGGTACATGGGCCCCATTATACCACACCTCCAACTTCTCTATAGACTTAAAAATCTTCCAGATGAAGTATTTTGGGAAAAAGGGATCAAAATCCAGTGGGGATCCCCTACCCCATACCACATGGCAGCTTACACCATAAGATGCGACGTGGCCGGACCACCCCAAAACAGTGAGGTCTTAAGACTAAGGACAGCAAACCTACCAACTTTAAAATACTTCAGGTATTTTAAAATCTGAATCCCTAAAGTAAAAACTAACAACCCAACCAAAATGAGACAAAACAAGAAAACTAGGAAACATGGAATCACACTACAATCTGCCATGGGTCACATCATGAAATTCTTTCTCCTCTCTCTCTCTCTCTTTCTCTCTCTCTCTCTCAAGACAGGGTCTCACTATGTAGTGTGGGCTGGCCTAGAACTCATGGTGATACTCCTGCCTGGAATCACAGGCATGCACCTCTGTGCTCAACATGAAATTGTTTTCTTAAGTAGGGAAATGGCAGATTGGGAGAGGCCACTGTGGATCAGGGTGCTGAAGTGACACTGGCTGACAGTGTCCACTTTCCTAGGAGGGACCCATGCTTTCCGACCGGGCTGCAAAGAGCAGACTGCTAAAGACTAATGGAGTGCCCAGTACCAGAGGCAGCTGCCAGGCCCCTGGCTGGTGACACCAAGGCTGTCAGTTCCTGTGAATGTCCCAACTGGACCACACACAAGGGACCTGGGGGCAGCCACTGAAAGGGTGTCAGAGAGGATGGAGGTGTGGTGAGGAGATGGGGTATGGACAATGCTGGTGCTTCGGGTGAAGGAAGCTGTGCAGGGGCAGAAGCTGGAGAACCAAGGGCTGGGGAGAAGTTGCGACCCACTGCGCAGCCTCAGCACCGTGCACACATGCACTGTAGAGCAGAGCATGCTCCTCCTCACAGGGCCCTGGGGAGGGTGCACCATGGGGCGAGAAACAGCAGCAGGCAGGGTGGGGAGGGGCCCTGGCCTTTGCCCTCGGCTTCTGTGTGGTGACGACGAAGCCCCAGAACATCTGGCCTGAGCAAAGTGCCTTGGCTCCTGGGGCCCGAGGATCCTCATGGTGTAACTGCCCTACAGCAGACCGTGCAGGGGCTGAAGCTCAGCCACGGGGCTGCCCAAGGGCCTCTGCAGTGAGGGCCCCAAGCGCTCTGCACACCAGGTCCTGCACACCCTGGGCTGGCAACGCTCCATGCATGTTGTCACCATCGATGCAGGAAAGCAAGGCCGTCCCTACACTACGGGAGAGGGACGGAGGCTGTGTCTGACCCCTGGACTCTCCCTCTCTGGGCCGTTAAATCTGCCTTCCTTTCCCCTCATGAACTGTCACTGTGTCAGCCCTCAGCAGCCTAGGGGTCCTTCTAGGAAACTACTGAATGGAACGGAGGTCATGGGGACCCCCAGACAGGCTGCTGGTGTCAAAAATGAGGGTGGCTGGGGACCGTGTGTTGGCCGACTCATGCAAGCTTCTGGAGACCTGCTTGGCTGTGAAGCAGCGCAGGTGGTCGCAGCCAAGCACAGCTGGGGAGGGTCACTGTGCAGAAGGTGGGAGCGTGAGGAGACCCGAACAAAGGACAGAATGACACCACAAGGAAACGCTTGGGAACTCAGCTCCATTCATGACACAAACCACAAACCACAGCAAACAATAGAAAAGTCAGCAGAGGATAAGAACAGTCCATAAAGGAGGGAAGATAAATGGCCTTAAACACATGAAAAGCCATGCAGCTCACTCCCAGGGGAATGCAGGCAGAGCTCTGCAGAGTGGAGGGCAAGGACTGCCAGGCCCAACTTTCAGACCCCGCCAGGTATGCCAGGGTGGAGCCAATCTCAGAGGCCTCTCCTATGGCTTCACAAGCAGTCCAGCGACTCAGGGGCAGAGCTGGGGCCCTGCTAGCTTGAGTTGGTCACCCCTCCACTGAGGCAGCACAATATACCTGACAGTATCTGTCAAGACGCCCTAGGTCCCTGCTGTATGGGTCACAGGATTCAGAAACTTGTTGGGACAAAAGGTTCACTACTGGACAGCTGTCCTTGCCTAGAACTCAACTTGACACCAATAGGCCCCAGCCTGTCTGACACAGGATGGTTTTTTCAGGGACGAGAGGAGAGAGGGGGAACTTGTTGTCCACAGAGGAGCCTGGGCCTACACCGTCAGGCAAGTCCTGATTCCCCCGACACAGGGCTGCCTTCTTCCCTGCTGTGACCTCCCCACACAGACCTCAGCCCTTTTGGAGGGGGATCGAACTCAGGCCCTTGTTATTGGGAGGTAGGCGACAGCACCGCTGAGCTAAACCCCTGGCCCTTTCCTTTTTTTTTTTTTTTGTCCCAGGTATCAGACTCAGGAGCTTGGGCTTGTGAGGCAGGCAGTAGAACCACTGAGTTAAATCCTCAGCCAGACCTCAGCCCTTATAAGGCAGAAAGCCCCGGACCAGTGCATCAGAGAGAAGCCCCCAGGCCCTTGCTACCCCAGAAACTGAGGTCAGCTAGGGGCAGGTTGGCCTCCCAAAGTCACCTCCACCCACTGGTGGCAGTCCATCCCCTTGCCCTGCAGAGGGGGACAGGAAAAAGAAAGGTAGCTCTCACCCTACTCACCTGAGGCCAATGCTGGGTGGGCATGGGCTCTGTCTCAGCCTCTCTGTTAATCAGTGGAGCTGTACCCGAAGCCAGATGCCACCACCAACAACCCTCGAGGGCCAGGGGCCCAGACCCATCCACCCAGGCCCCTGCACTCACCAGCTCCTTCCTCCTGGGTTCACTGCCTGTGGCCACAGAGACAGAGCGCACAAAGGGCTTAGAAGCAGATGCGCTGCTGGGGCGCCGGTACAATGGCGGAGGAAGGCCTGTCAGACTCAGGTCTGCGCATTCGGGGCTGCCTTCAGGGGCACTCCTGAGGGCCCTGCAGCCTTTCATGGTGGGCAGTGGGCCCTGAGAGGAAGTGAGAGACGAAATGGGACACCCTGGAGGAACCGCAGGCCCCTGCATCACCACCAGGACAAAGCCTCAGACACCCTGGGACAAGGCCACCTGTCACCGCCCACACACTCTCCACACAGCCCCTCATGGGAACACGGCTGTGCTAAGCCCCCTGTGAATGTGGGGCTGGGCAGGAGGGGTCTAAAGAGGAGCCGGGGCAGTGGAAGCTGGCGGTACAGGTAGAGCACCTGACAGGATGGCTAGCGACAGCAGCAGTCATGGGGATGAGCAGGCTGTGCCCTTCAGCCCCACCTCCATGACCCAGTCAGGTACCCCACCTGTCTGCTGTAGAAAGAGGTTAAAAAGTGCATCTTGGAACATGCATGGTGGTGCGGGCCTGTAATCCCAGCACTCTGTGAGGCCAAGGCTGCAAGAGCCAAAGTTCAAACCCAGCCTAAGCAACTTAGTGAGACCATGTCTCAAAAACTGTATATACACGAGCTGGGTGTGGGGGCGCACGCCTGTAATCCCAGCACTTGGAAGGGTGAGATAGGAGGATCACTGTGAGTTCGAGACCAGCCTGGGCTACATAGTGAGTTTCAGGTCAGTCTCAACTACATAGTGAGACCCTGTCTCAAAAAACAACAACACCAACAAAATCTGTATATATACATGGATATATATATATATATACATGTACATGCATCTGACTAATAAATGAGTTCTGCTCCAGGAGAATCATTTGAAATCCAATTCGTTTGTAAACTGACAAAGTGAGTCTTACATAATACACCTGTGAAAATTCCCAACTCAAATGTTCATAATCAAGGACTTAAATAATAAGCAGAAATAATTTAAAGAGGCTGGGAATGTAGCTAGTGCAAAGGCTCTGGGTTCAATCCCCAGGACTGCAAGGTAAATAAATAATGCCTCTTCACAGGGGCTGTTCGGAGGTTTGGATAAAACACAGCCATGAGGCTGGCACCCACCAAGTGCACCATCTGGGTTCAGAGGTTCCGCACTAAAGACACCCCAGGTCCCAGGCTTACCTGGCCACAAGGACCCCACCACTACCCCCACATTGCCTCAGAACATCTGTGAGTTCCTGGGATGCAGCAACCTCTCTCTTGATTCCCAGGCTCCCCTCCTTGTGCAGGCCAACACCCCCCCACCCTCCACCCGTCTCTCTTGCTGGCTTCTGTTCCTCTTCCCAACCTGAGAGGCGCAGGCCCCTCTCCTCCATCTACCCTCTCACCTGGGGACCACCTGGGACCTCCTGGCTTCCTCCACACAACTCTGCTCCAGCCACCAACTTGCCTGGGACAACAGCCACAACCCTTCTTCCTCACAGGGCCGAAACCGTTCTCAGCTCGGGTCAGGCCCCAGGCTCAGGGATAAGGCCCAAAACTCTTATCATCCACAGATCAGAACCTGCTCCCTGTGACTCCCTTGCTCTGCCAGCTTGTCCCACACACTTCTGCGACTGCTGGCCTCTCGGCTTTGGACGCTTCCCTCTCACGCTCTTCTCCCTGTCCACCACCCAGCACTCCAGGGTCCATGCTGGGATTCGAAAGACAGGGCAGGCGGAGCCACATACCTCACAGGTGGCAGGACCTACCTTAGCCGGCCAGTGTCTGCAGCTACATTTCCGGTTGTTCGGGTGAAATCTGACACCGGACCAGGCTGGCCCTGGAGCTTAGGGGTGCATGGCTTGCCCCACTACATGTGCAGGGGAGGCTGGAGGAGGTAAACAGCCTCTCCATAGAAACCCCCACACCACCAGAAGGAGGCCTGGGAGGCCAGGCTCTCCTGGATGAGAGGGTGTCCCTTGAAGGCCTTGAAGGGTAGAGGTTGGTGCCCTGCCTGGCCCTGCAGGACTGAGCCGACCTAGGGATGCCAGAGGCAGGGTCCACTGCAGCGGGCTGTCCTCTGCGGTCCAGTCCCCACGCCCCAGGACTAGGTCAGGGGTCCAGCGACGCCAGACTGAACCCCAGGTCCCGCCATGCTGGGACACGGCCCTCTCCTCCGTTGCAGGGCCTGGACTCCTCACCTGTGGGGACCACCCCCTTCTCACCCGCACCTGAGCGGACCCCCCCTCACCCACGCGGAACACTCAGAGCTGCGTGGACTCCCCGCTTCCCCTCACCTGCGAGGGCAAGGCCTAGAGAGCTGGGCCGGCGGACTTGGCAAGGTGGGCGCCCTGTGGTCCTCGGCTATGCCTCCGAAGCGGGTGACAATGAAACGCCGAGCCGTGGGGACAGTACCGGCGGCTAGCAACGAGCCTGGCACCACCTCCCCTGTCCGTCACACCGGCCCGCCTTTCCTGAGAGCGCGCCACTTTCAGATTGGCCCTCCTGCCTCCCGCTCTGGCCGTCTTGCAAGTTCATTGGGCCGCTAGGCTGTCCATCGGGAAGTTCAAGCGGGGGAGGAGGGGCGGAGAGCGGAGGGCCGCGTCAGATGCGGACTGCCGATTGGGCGCGACTGGAAGGGGGCGGACGCGACGCGTGGGCCGGGAGCGGCGGTGTAGGCGGAGCCTCCGGGTGTGGGTGGAGCCTCCGGGTGTGGGCGGAACCGGAGGGCCTTGCGGGTGACTTCTGTGGCCGGCCCCCAGTTTCCTAGTCCCCGACCCGCTATGAGCTGTTCTGCCCAGAGAGCCCCGGTCCCCAGTTCAGATGCTCTTCCAGCAAAAGTTATATTAAAATGACAGCCGTGTTGACTTCTTCACGTTTAATTCATTTTTTTAATGAAAAAGTTTGGTTTAGATACAGTGAAGTTCACATTTTGGGCTGTGTAGTTGCACAAACCAACGCCACAACCCAGATGGAGGACATTGCCACCTCCACCCGACCCCCCGGGTGGCCTCGCAGACTGGCCCAGCCCTCAGCCCCGCCATGGTCACACAGCTGGCGTCATCCCTGGACCCTGGGCTGGCTTTCCCCACAGATACTTCAACATCCATCTGCATTCCTCGGAGAAGTATCTCAAACTACAGGAAAAACACATTCGTGGCCGGGACATTTCTCTGGATAAACCCCTACCAGTGGGATTGCTGGGTTGTATTTATTTAACTTTATAAGAAACTACCAAACTGTTTTCCGAAGAACTTGTATAATGCTACACTCTCAGCAGCACTGTGTGAATCCTAGTTGTTCCCCACCCTTGTAGCTCTTGGGACCCTCAGGGCATCCACTCCTCCAAGATACTGGGGATTGAACCCACGGCCTCCACACTGAGCCAAATCGTCAGCCCTTTTTATTTTTAGTAGTAGTATTTTTATTTTTTGCACAAGATCTCACTATGTAGTTCAAGCTGGCCTCAAACTCGTGGTGTTCCTCCTCTGCCTCAGCCTCCTGAGTCCTGTGATTACAGGCATGTGCAGTCGTGCCTGCTTATTTTTTGACACAAGTTCTAAGTTGCTAAATTGCCTGGGCTGGGCTCAAACTTGTGATCCTCCCGCCTCAGCCTCCTAGTGTGCTGGTGTGTACCACCATGTCTGACTGGTGTGTGCTTTCTAAAATGTAATGTATAAAGCCATGGACAAAAACTTTCCTTTGTTTTCTTCTCCAAGTTTGAAAGTTTTAAGTATTATATTTAGGACCATGGCTCAAGTTTTGTATGAGGCATGAGGTGAAGTATGGGACAATATTCATTTTTCCATGCAGATATGATTACTCGAGCATGCTCTTAAAAGGCCACCCCATTTTCATTGAGTTACTTTCACATTCTTGTAGAAAATCAGTTGACCATATGTTTTGTTTGCTTGGTACCGGGGATCGAACTTAGGTCCTTGTGCTTTCGAGGCAGGCGGCAGAACTACTGAGCTAACTCCCTGGCCCTTTTTGACCATATTTGGGTGGTTGATTCTCAACTGTCTGCTGCTGTTGATCTATAGTATGAATAACTTTTCACCAATATCACAGTCTTGGCTAGTGCAGCCTTACAAAAAATCTTGAAGTCTGATATGTCTTCGAAATTATCCTGACTATTCTGACTCCTTTATCTTTTCCTATAAATTTTAGTATCACCTCTTCACTATATTAAAAATCCGGCTGAGAGGGCTGGGGCTGGAACCCTTGCCTAACAAGCTGGGGTGGGGGGGTCCAGCTGAGCCTTGCTGAGGGTCCGTAAACCTCAGATGTGAGACTGGAGATTCAGGAAGCACGGAAGTCCTTTACCACATGGTGCATCTCCAGTCTCACATTCAGGATACCAGCTGAGTAATTACCAGAGTAACTACCACTGAGGTGCACGGTTTTCTCTGCCCCAGAAGTTAGTAGTGAAGACAGGAGCAGTGCGGAACTATACCAAACATTTGAGGGATAACACCTGTCATGGCACTAAGAGGGCCTTTAAGTGTTTCCCTTCATAATGGTATTTTCATTAAAATGCACCCACACAGGAGGAGAAAACACAGCAATGTCCCAGCTGTGTGTAAACAGCACTGTTTATTCAGAGTGTGAATCTCAGAGCTCCTCTGGGGTCTTCTGAGGAATGGGGTTTCATACCCCACTCCCCACCTCTAACCTTGAAAGGGCCGAGGGCTTTCACCAAGCAGCAGAGAACCAGCCCAGCCCCAGGCACCGATCCCCTCAGCTGCCCACCTGACAGGGCTGCAGCTCCAGACACTGTGACCTTCCTTGGGAAGGAGGGGCCAGAGGGCAAGATGAAAACAACTGAGCAGTTGCCTCCAAAGCCATACCAGCACCCCACTCCCAAGGGCAAGGCGGGTGGGAGTTACCCTGGGTACCCAGGCAGCGCTTCTGAGCCCTGCCACCTGCCTGGTAGAACTCAAGTCCCCATAGCAAGCCTCCGGCAAAGCAGATGGGGGACAGTTCAGCTGGGGATGGGAGCAGGGTAAGCTGAGGGCTGGGCCTCAAGAACGCTGGCCCTGCAGACACGCCATTGAAACCTGGAGACCTCTGCAGTGGGAAAGTTGGCCCCAGCCAGAGGGACACCCCAAGAATGGCCTGTGTGCGTCCCATCGGCAAGCATGGTTGGGGAGCTGTCCCTCGAGGCACAGTGCATTGGAGATGACTCTGAGGGTGCAACTGCATCCTGTCTTGGCTGCTCCAAAGCATCCTGAGGGACACTCGGGCCCATCAGCGACCATGACAGCTGCTGGGAGGGCCACTTGGCACCACCTGGCTGGGGCTCCTGCACCCAGGCTGCAGTGGGTGATGGGTAAGTGAAGGGGTAGGGTAGGTGGCTGCCAGTAGGAGGCGATGGGGTCCTAGGAGTCACCAGGTGAGGACAGGGAGACCCCCTGTGTACAGCCAGGCCCACGTGATCATTTGTTTAAGAAGGCAAAGGCTGACAACTCTGGGTCTGGAGGCTCTGTGGCTGCCGCTCTCTGGGCCCACGTCCGGGGGCAGTGAGGGGCTGGCTTGGGCCCTTCTGCTGTAGCCTGAACCCCCACCAGGCGGGGACAGGCAACCAGCTCCATGCCAGCAAACAAGGAGTTGTGGTTCCATGGGCAGGGGCCAGGGCCTCCCTCTGGGGTCTCCATATCCCCCAAGCCTTGCACAGGCCGTGCCCCCTGCTCTTCTGGGAGTGTCTCAGCCTTGCTGGCATGTCTGGGGGTTGGGAAGGCGCTGGTGTCTGCAGCTGGGGAGGGTGCCAGGCTGCCTGGCAAGACTGGGGAGGAGCTCAGAGGCTGGAGGATGACCTGGCCCCCCGGGGGAGGCTCAGGGTCAGTCAGCAGGTCTGACGGGCCCACAAGGGTGGCTGTGGGGCTGGGCTCAGCACAGGGCCTTGGGGCTGGGGGCCGCTGTCCACAGGAGGCTTCAAAGTGCCTTAGGATCTGAAAGGAAAGAGGAGGTGGTGAGGGCTTCTGTGAAGCTCCTGGGGTCACAGCCTGAGGCTGCCTCCTCCAAGTCCCTCCTCAGGGCCAGTGTGGGGAGGCTGTGGTCACCTCCTGCTGGCCTTGTAATGTCAAAACATTGAGACACGTAGCACATGCCATTTCTGCAGATACGCGCCCCGGTCCACCCGGGTCCACCCAGGAGCAAGGGAACTAGTTTTCAGCAGCCATAGAGAAAATGGGAAGAAAGAGGCTGGGGGTGCTACCAGGGGATGGACAGGTGCCCAGGCATGCAGAGTCTGAGGAAGTGGACACAGACGAAAGGAAAGGTTTCTGCTCACCCGGAGCTGGGCCAGGTGAAGGCAGTGGTGGGGTCCCTGGAGGAGGCTATGAGCACAGACAAGGGAGAGGGAGGGGGAGCAGGTGGCACTGGGTGGAGTAGGCTCTTGGGTTCCAGGAGGTGGGCAAGCCCAGGGCAGGAAGCCCCAACCCTGGACCTTCAGCTGGCACCACCCTCTGGGCAGGACCAGGAAATGTGAGGCAGCCCCTTGGCTCCCTAGCACCTGGTGCACCTGTGGCTCCACCTGCTGCCCACCTTGGTGGCCTTGCTGGTCACAGGCCCGGGGCTGCCCATGCTGAGTGCTTGCAGCTGCCGCCGGGAGAGGAGAAGGATGTGCTCCTGGGGAAGAAGGTCAGCAGAACCCAGGGAGGCAATGGCACACAGGGCCCTCTGCAGGTATGGGAGGAACAGGAGGTCAGCCCAGGCACCACTCTGTTCCTGAGGGCAGCGAGGCCTGGCAGGGGCCACTCTGCTGACCCTCCTCCTCCACTCCTGTGGACCTGGTATAGCGAAGTGCTGGGGCGGTTCCTCCAGACCTTCCTCACCCGCTCCCTTCCTGGTTCCCACCCACCCCCGTGCTTCCCCCAGATGCCCACAGTGCCCGCTGCTGCCCCGCCTCACCATCTGCTCTCGCTCACTGGCTGTGCCCAGAGGGGAAAGGAGCAGCTCCAGCACCGCCTCACAGTTGAGCAGCCCGCACCTGCTGAAGGAAAGGGTGTGGCGGGGGGTCGTGGTGTCCCCTCTCCATGGGGCAGGTAGGACCAGGGGCCACTCACTCTTTTATGAAATGCTGGGCCTCCTCACGGCTCAGGAAGGCGCGGGGCCCCTGCGTCACAGTCCTCACCAGCCTCAGCTCCTGCTGGCAGTCACTACTCACGGCGCGAAGGCGCGGGGCCCCTGCGTCACAGTCCTCACCAGCCTCAGCTCCTGCTGGCAGTCACTCAGGGACATGGCTTCCACCCTGGCGAGGGCACAGCTGGGTCAGGCAGCTCCGTCCCGGGTGGAGGGCTGGGGCTGGGCCTCCTCCCTCCCTGTGCTGGGTGAGCCTGGGGGCAGAAGCCTGGCTGGGAGGCCCTCCTCAGGGGCAGGCTACGCGGTCGACACCAGCTACTTCACTCACCTTTCTGCCAGGTCACCCGGCTCCTGGCTGGCCCCCGAGTGGCTGTCGCTGCCCGACCGACTGCCTGAGTCTGAGGCCCGGCTCTGATCACTGTTGCGGGAGGAGCTGTGGGAGCCAGGGCTGCTGTCCAGCTCATCCCAGCCCCCTCCAGCCTGCCCTGGCTGGTGTCTCACAGCTGGAAAAGACAGGGATGGCAGCTGAGACCCACAGCAGCTTCCGATCGGTCTCACACCCACCGCCCCAGGCCCTCTGTGACCTGAGCTGAGGATGGGGCAGCTGCCCGGGTAGCAGCTCCAGAAAACTCCAGGCAGGTGAACCCCAGCCAAAAGGCACTTCCCCTTCCCCACTCACCCCCACCTGCCTGAGCTGGGTCCTGTGCCTTCTGCCCTGCGCTCATCTGCCTACCAGCCCCTAAAGCCCAGAGTCCCAGCAAGTGACAGGAGAGAGATCCAGAGCCCCCCAATACCTCGAGCACACGGGGTGGCCCCAGGAAGCAGATTCCCAGGGGCATGGTGGCTGCTGGAAGGTGTCATTGCAGGCTGATAGGTGTCACCCTGTGGCAGAGGCCTCTGGGTCCAGGGATTCTCAGGCCCAGGGTGCACAGCATTAACCACCGCCTCTGCAGCCCTCTGGATGGTGGAGAGGAAGGCTTCACCCGTGGAGCCTGTGCCCAGGAGAAGGGGCATGGTGTTGGCACTCCCACCTGCCCCGCTGCTCAGGGCTGGGGAGCAGGGACACATGCTACACAAACAGAGCAGAGCCTGCTGGCAGGGGGTTTCCCAAAGGGCTGTCCTTCCCTAAACAGGGCTAGTTCCAGCCTGGGAAGGGGCCGCCCCTGCCAGTGTGAGCTCCTTGCAGTAGGTCCCTCCAGACTAAAGTGTGATCTGGGACCCCAGAGCCAGGACCAAGACGATCTGTGACCCAGTCTAACAGCAAATGGCTGGGCACAACCTGAGGTCCAGCCCCAGGGAACTCTGAAGTGGCCCTGTCCCTGTTATAGGCCACTTTGCACACCTCCAACAAAGGCTTCACGTGTCCTAAGGACACAGACACTGGAATATGCCACCCCTGATTACAGCTTGCACATGGGACCACCCTGAGTTCCGCTGTCCTGGCTGGGACCACAGCCTTTGGCCCTCAAAATAGGATTGAGCCCCCACAGCCAACCCTGGCTTCCACCAAGCAGACCTGGCCACCCCTGTGCCACCCTTCTCTTGGAAGGGCAGAGGAGGTAGTGGTGGGGAATACACCAGTGTGAGCAGTGAGGCCTGCTCTGTCTGCACTGATCTCCCTGGGTCCACAGCGTCCCCCTTACCTGCACAGCCCTGCTCCTGGCTGTAACCGAAACCCTGGAGGGCGCTGAGAGGCCTAGACTGGGAGCCCATGCCTAGGAGGAACTGGGCTTCAGCAGGGGCCACTCCCCCTGGCCCTGCCCCACCCATAAGTACACCAAGCCCAGGAGTAGAGAGTAGGGGGAGAAAGAGATGCCTGCTGAGCAGCACCAGGACTTCCTACCCGTGGGAGGCAGGGCCCTGGCGGGATGGGAGGGAGGCAGTGGTGCAGCATCAGAGTACAAGGTACTGCCCAGGTCCTGAGGGAAGAGGCAGGGCTCAGTGAGCTACAGGCTGCTTTCTTGGCCCCGACCATCACTTGGCTCCATCCCAGATGTCCCCAGAGCCTCCCAGCCAGACGCAGGAGCTGTGGTCCAGCAGTAGTGGAAGAATGGCAGATATTCTGTGGACACCTCAGCGAACCTGGGGACCCTGGGAGTGACTAGGGCCAGGGCTCACCTGGGCAGCCGCTCGCACTTTCTGGTACAAGCTGTTCCCTTGCAGAGGGTCTGGGGGTCCTGCAAAAACTGCAGAGCAGAGAAGGCAGAATAGAGGCAGGCTTGGCTGGCCACCCTGAGGGAGCTCCAGACACCACTCTGCTCAGACACCAGCCCCTTGCCCTCTCCTCCGCAGATGGCTGGGGTCCCTTCCTCAGGACCCTGCACAGGCCACACTGGCACAGGCCACGCTGGCACAGACCCTGGGCACCCTCTTGCCCACCCCACCTCCTGCCTGAGTGAGGGCAATGTCCACCTAACTGCTCCCACTGGCCCACTTTCCTTTTCCCAGATGAAATGTGAACCCATCAGGATCCACAGGTAGATGGCAAATGCAGGTCTCTATCACAGCCTGAAAGGCTCTACTTGGTCCAGCCTGCATACCCCAGCCTTGGCCTGTGCTAAAAGGCTTCGCCCCTGAAAAATCAGGCACTCCTATGTCACATCAAACCTTTCTCTGCCTCTGGGCCTTTGCATGTGCAGGAGGGCACCACAGAACTCCTATGCATGCCTACTGCACCTCATCGTTTCAGAGCTGAGAGCTCCTTCCCAGAGAATCCCTCAGTAGGGGCCTCCAGCACAAACAAATTTCTCTTTATCCCTCTTTGCAGGTCCAGACCAACAATATCCTCCTCCCTACCATCGAATGCCCCTAGCTTCCCCTTGGTGTACCTGTGCTGGCTACTCCTACCTGTGGCTTCCTGGATGAGAGCAGAGTTGTGTCTGAGGATGAGCAGGAAAGAGGAGGAGCCATGGCTGCACAGGTAGAGCAAAATCTTCAGCACCTGGGGAGTCAGCAGGTATGTTGGACTGGAAGAAACCTATACAGGATGCTCAGGCCAGGGCCCGGTCACCCACCACAGGGCCCTGTGCCCCTCCCCTCTCCTTGACGCCTACCAGCAGGAGCTAAATCTAACCAGCGGCCAGGACAAGACCCACCTTGAGCTTCACATGGCCAGAGCTGCTGTCCAGGCGGTTCAGGAGGTATTCCAGCAGGCACTGGCTGCTGCCCACCGACTCATGGGAGATTTCTGGGATGCACTCAGGTTAGGAAAGGAGCAAGGTGATGCAGGCCACAGTAGGGTGTGCTGGCTGAGGAGAGAGCCCACTCTCCTATGTTATCCACCTCCTGAGCTCACATTCTCCGCAGATACCTACCACGGGCCTGGTTTCAGGAGCACTGGAGCTTCTAGGGTCTACGACGCCCTAGGTCTTTTTGTTCACTTTTCTCAGAGCATGAGAAGTCCCAATTTGCCCACTGCCCTTAGGCCAGAGGGGCGGCTAATCCATGGTATCCCAGCTTCCAGATCCCACCCACCCCAGGTTACTATGGTAAAGGAGTCATGGATGCCCACATCGGGGCAGAACCTCCAGTAACCCCAACTGTGGCACCAGGGCCCCTGCCATTTACTCTGCCCACACTGGGGATGTTGAGGAAGGATACTAGCAATCTCTTCAAACAGGTACCCTGGACAGGGGACATCATCGTCTGAGGTCCCCTTCAGGAGAACTGGGAGCTGAAAGGGAACAAGAGCCATAACAAGTCACCTTCTGTAAGAAAGAAAGTGAGACTGCAGCCACGAAATGTTATAGAACAGGCCTTGCTCTCACTGATGACGTGCTGGCCCGGGTTACGACCTGAAAGGGACAAGAATCATCCTACTTGCCATAGGCGACCTGGAGGAAGGCATCCTCTGAATAGTCAGGGACAAGTGGCCCCAGGGGAGAGGAACATCAATGCTGGTCCTCATCCTGGACATGGCGAGGGACAGACTCAGCCTTCTACATTTATCAGTAAGACAATTTGAAGGTACTTTTAATATACATATTTATTGACTAACAGAAGAAAAAGTTCAGGGTTGTGACATCAGCCTGAACACGGATCAAAAGAATCAGAACTCAGCTCAATTAACTCTGAAGCTCCTAAAGAACAATCAAGCTGTGGGTTTATGTTCACACATCACTCCAGACTGTTTGTTTATGTTACCTGCTTGTTAGGAAAAGGTATCATTTATGGAGCTGAAAAAGGAAACTCCTGTTCTCATATTATTCAATATCTGGACAGTGGAGGGGTTCAAGGATATTTAAAATGACAAGTATGGGGACCGTGTCAGGTCCTAAGCAGAGAATACAGCCTGAATGCCAGGCACCTGCAGTCATGAATGCAGGTAAAACGTGCCTAGGAGTTCAGAACCGCTGTAGCAGCTGCCTGGGGCCGCCCAGGCCCTGAGACTTCAGCCTGAGAAGGCAGAGGGCTGTCAAAGGGCTTTACGATTTGTTCTGGCCAGCAGCTGGAGTCAGGCCCCGACCCCTCTCTTGGAGATCTTGGCCACTAAAACGGGCCTGCCGCTGCCTCTGTCCTGAGATGTCTTCGTCTCCCACACGGTGTCCCTGTGCCCCAGGACCTCCCTGCAGCGTGCCCTGTCCCGCGTTCTCCAGCGGTCGGAGTGGGCTCGCCTTTCTCTGGCGCTGCCGAACCGTCCCGCCGCTCCAGTGAG